GCTGGTCAAGTTCTAATTTGGTCATGTTTTGATGATTTTGGACAACGTTATCTCTCTTGAAAGTTTACTTACTTTTGTGGAAATGTATGTAGTCATGATTTAGGCTACACATATGCCATATGTGAATTGCAATACTGAGTAATTTCACGGCCATGAATAAAAATGGTTTGTGTTACCATTGAATAGCTTAAAGATCCTGTATGTTGTGATGAAAGTGGAAAACTCGATAAGTTAAACTTTAAATATGTACATATGTACATTATTATACAAATAAAACAATTTTCAAACATCGAAGAATATGTAAAATATGTACTGTAAACAGAGCTGCATTACTGGTACTGGTACTGCAGTACGTACTGCAGCGATTTTGCAAGTACTGGTATTGATACTGAATTACTCTTACAAAATTTTGCTACTACTGGTACTGGTACTGCATTACTGTCTTAAAAAGTGGTACTGCTACTGCATTTCCCAGTACTTTTGGTTTTGATAAAAATTAAAAATAACATCAATTTTTCTCATAAAATAAAGCTGTAAATTACATCAACTATATTTTATTTTTGTGAAAAAGTAAATTATCAAATCTAATTTGCTGCAATATTCCTTCAAATGTTAACATAGTATTCATCATAAAAAGCACCAAAGACTTTAAGTAAAAATTAAATTCAGATAAACAGACTCAATAACTCTTTACCCTAAAATATCCTTATTAAAATCTTTTATTACTTTGTATTTACTAGATAAAGAGCAAAATAAACACTAATTAATTTCTTTTTTATTCTAAATAATCCCATTTCAAGTGAAAAAAGGGATATTGTTAGCACCATAAAAAGTTGATATTTGCTTTGGTATAAATTGAACATAGGTGTGAAGGTGTGAAAGGCAACAAAAGATTGTTTTGTTTTAAATGAAAGATGTTTGCAATGTATTTATACAGTTGACTGGTTACTTAACAATTAGATATGGCATGAATATATGTTGTAAATATTGTTTGTAAAAAGTATGTTAAAACTTAAAAGTTGTAAATATGTTATGTTAACTTTAAAGCAGCACGCCTCCAAATTAATCCTAATTTTCATGAAAATTTTGAAAATGTAGTAAAAGGTAAAAAAGTATTAAATGAACAAAGAAAGTACTAGACACATTACAATCGGCACTTAAAATCAACGTAAATTACCAAAAAGAGGTCAAAACATGCATAAATAGCCCCTACTGCGTTAGTAACGCAGTAGAAATATGGTGATAACTACTACAAAATACAGTCATTAATTGCACATAAGATATAAATTATCACTTGAATCTTTAATTTGTTTACTTTTCTCAAAGTTTTAGTTATTTTTTTCCAAGTTTAATTTTCTTGAAATATTTTTGGTCATCTGGACGCATGTAGCTTTAAAGTTAATTATTATTTTATTTCTTTGCTAAATAATATTTGCAATTATATGTTTGACACTGTATTTACTCAAACATTGATGAATATATAAAAGTAATGGTACTGATACTTCATAACTTCACCAAAAAAGTACTGGTACTGCTGTACCGAGCTAAAATTTAGTACTGGTACTGGTAATGGTACTGCATAATTTGCCAAGTACTGGTACTTAAGTACTACAACCTTAGTACTGATGCAGCTCTGACTGTAAATATTTATGCATATTATATGTAATCATTAAAATCCATGCATTCGTTTCTTATTGTGTTTTTTTGTTTTAGATAATTTTATTATTTCATTTCAGGAGGACAAGGGGTCGATTTTTTACATTTGTATTCAAGGACATAAAATGGCTTGTAGGATTTTATTTATCCATATATAGCATAGAAGCACGTTAGTATACTATATGAAATTCAATAAAAAAAGGGTTGACTTATTTTATTAAAATATTATAGTATTATATTTTCTTTTTCAAATAGTTCTCACATTTCAGAAACAATTATCACGATTTTTTCAGTAGAATAACATCTGAGACATGGCGATTTTTATCAAATATGTGTTCAAGGCATCTGCTGAAATTTTCCAAAATAATACAAATGTATAACAATACAGATATGGTATTATTAAACTTCTATGTTTAAATAACCAGGAGATGATAATTGTAAGTAAAAATATATTTTTACATGAGAACGTGTCATTACAGCATGAATGTGAAAAAGAATATCACATAAACCAGATTATAAGACTTAGATTTTGTTTTTGTAAGCGTGCACATATTCACAAGAATGCAAAGTAGTTAAATCTGTTCTTTTATTTCATAATTGTAATTGACAGAACGAACACTTTTCGAATCTGTTACTTGTTTATCTCTTTTTGACGTATCTTTCTTTTATATTTATCGGCGATTGCTTAAATCCTTTACCGATAAGCTCTTTCAGCCATAAACGTTTCGTTTCTTGTAAAAAAAGAATAAATTTATAGCCGAACTGAATAATGTAGTTTGTTTAAACTATATCTTGTTTTATAAACAGTGCAATGATTTGTTTTGATAATCTTAGGCTACTTCTCCAAAGAGTTATAGTATAGAATGCCTTTGTTACTTAATAAACATAGAAGCAATAACTGTATTTTAAAATATAAAATATTCAGGAAAAAATGGTTTTCTGCTATTCTTAATGGGATTGAAATCATTTTGCAATGAAGCCGTGCATGCCACATTCGCTCTTAAAGTAAAGAAGCATATAAAATATTTCTTTCATACATGCATTTTTGAAATATCCCTTTTCAAAACTAAAATAATGAATTAACATGATGCTTTCTAATTTAGATTAATAGCTTTATTCATTTTAAGACAATATTTTCTTCTTTGGTGTGAGGAAGCTTTCCAACTGGCTTATTGAACGTCAGTCGTTCTACTCAGTTGCTCGCTTGTGGCTTAAATAATGCACTGATGGGCACCAAATGTCTTTTCTACCAGTATAGCTGGAAAGTCGCCATTTTACCTATATCGTGTTGGTGCAACTAAATGCAGTAAGAAAGAAAAGTCAAGACCAATGTTACGTTCTACGCCATCAGTCGCAACAAGGAATCCAAAAAAGTTCTACATGTAATAATGTATCTTCTTTCACAAAAGTTTCACTGTCTATTAAGTGCTTCTTTTACAGTTAACGGCGAACCTTGCTTTGAAAGTATTGATATAGACCATAAACAGGTGCCAGGTAGTCAGATAACTGTTTCCTCTGCTCAACTTAACCAAACGTCAGACACCGAACACTTACTTCATGCCTTTAAAGACTTGACCCCTTGGATTTTGGTTAGTAAAATATATGTCATAAATATACACACTTTCTTTTTATGGAAGCACAAATAGTTAAAATTTATCTATATATGTTGATATGACGAAAACGCATATAATAAGATTTTTTTTTAATATGTCAATGCAAGATTATTAACAAGATAACTGTTCAACACAAATTATATTTTTTATAAAGTGATGGTAAAATAATATTCAAATAAACGTAATACATGGTTGAAATAAACCCTTTTTTTCAAAATGACTAGAAAAAGGTAACGTTTGGGTGTGTTTATAATCAAACGTTATTGAATTGTTAAATGTATTATATGCATAGTTAACTTTTTTGCTAATATTACGTACCATTAAGATATAGTTATCTTCATTATAAATTTTTCTTTTAATCTCTACAAATATACACTTTTTTCTTGTAAAAATTTTATACATTAGGTGGATCTGATTTTTATGACAACAATAGAAGGAGTTTGTATTCATGTTTCCCAAGACTGTGACACATGGACAACTTTCAGTTTATATTTTGGTATTAGTGAGGATCAGCTACAGAAATACAATGACCTGGTAATTCAGACTCCTTTATAAATGTCTAGTGTAAAAACATGTATGAAATTGAAGAGACAATCATTGTTGATTAAGTGTACTTTAATTATAATTCTTAGACATACTTTAAACTGCTATTTTGATAAATTTTATATTTTATACGTAAGTGTGTAGGAATTTAAGCTCGAACTTTTGAAGAAAGGATGTGTTCTGATCAACCTTGGCATCCACTTACTTTTTTGGTAACTGTGTACATTTGATCAAAAACTATAAAACCTATGAAGTACTTGTTTACTATCAAATTTAAAATGTATTCCTGATTGCTGAATACTTTCCCTTTTTAAAAAAAGATAATTTGCCGTTAAAGTATTCACTTTAAACATGAAATATCTGTTGAGGCAGGTAAGTCATGGTATGTCCTTTATCTATATTTCTTTTATTAATCTATTTGGCACTGAGAAAAAGTGAGCGCACTGTCAAGAGCAGACAACACGTTTTAATTATTGTTGCGTTCAAATGTTAAAAAGAGAAATTCGTCTATTAAATTGAATGTATGCTAATTATTTTTTCATGCGAATGTAAAACTAGTCAAAAGTAACACAACACAAGGATCAGAACTGTCTTTCTTTTATCGGCGGAAATTCAAGAAATCAAAGAACGTGTTTTTATTCATATTTTAGTTTTTCCAGATCTTTCCATTTAAAGTGCTTCATTTTATCTAAAATTGATTGGATTTTCTTACCTCTCTTACATCTATGCGAAAATAACGTAGAAGTAATAATGACATTATTTCAGGAATTTAGAATTTATCCCTCGAAGAACATGTTCACCATAAATCAGACGTTCATTTTTCCAAGATTCATCAGGACAAGATATGTGAAATTTAATGCTTCATTTGAAAATGAAGCAACCAGATCTAGATGTCTTATTTTTACATTGTACGGCTGTAAACTTACACGTAAGAAAATTGATTAGTTTGATAACATATAGTTTGACACATAATCTTAATTTAAACTATTGAATGAAAAACTGGCACATATTTTTCTGGAAACAGGTTCATATCAATCTAATAATGTGTCAAATGACACAATAGTTATATTTTCACTTTTATAGCTGTTGTTTGCTTTCTGTTTTACATATACCGGCTATATTTATAACATTTTTATATATATTTGAGAACACGTGACTATATTTTTGTCGTGAAACAGGTATCTTTGACATAAACGACATAAACGGCGAACGTTTATCTGAAATGATGCCAATTAAACAAGAATTGCGGTCTGGAAACTCATCATTTTTTGAAAATACAGGTGTTGAGGAATGTAAACATCTTTGTAGTTTAAATAGAAGTTGTAGCGTTGCCAGTATCAGTAAAGAGAAACTCTGTAATCACTACATGGGTAGTGAACTTGGAATATGGAAAACTTTTCAGATTGTCAAAGGTAGCCAGTGGTTTGCAAAACTAAAAACAAATGGTACGTACACAATTCACATCAATTAGTTAATAAAATAAAACGATTTAAAAACTGTTATGGTTATTATTTCATACGCCGGTTGGTCAGAATATTATGTATTACCTGAAACCTTGTAAAAAAACTGCATTAACTTACATTAGTTAATCAATATGTTGTTATATAACAATTGGTTTGTTCCTGTGCAATTATAAATGTGCCTCTAAAATAGCATTTCTTTTGAAAAGTTTGTTCGTCTGGTTGGTTGTATTTTTTGTATGAAGGCCTTGTAGAAAAAAGTTTTGGTTATAACACATACCAATGTTTTGGGGTTTTTTTTTTAATGAAGAAAGCCCACTAGTATTTCATTAAGCCAAGTCATGAAACAATAACCCCGTGTAAAAACTTGATGTTAAAAGTATTTAAAAAAACATAATGCAATTCATTGCAGGAATATGATAAATTATACAACCCATGTTGCATTCTTACTCGACCGAAATATAAAATGTTTTGTTTTATATTTGAAAGAACCGATTCATTGGTAATGTGCTTGAGATGAATCGGATATCTATGTCATAAGAGAGGGCGCTTACTAGAGGGTACAGGTATAATATTATAATACTTGCAGTTAAATAAGCACACTGCATAAAGAGTGAATGAAAAAGAAAATTCAAATTTAAAGTGCGCTTTTTCTCAGTTTGAAATTCTATTCATATTGTTTTTGTTTTGTTTTTTTTTTTCGCAAAAAAAATATTTTCTAGGTACAGAATATTTAAGAAATTAAATAAGTTTTCATCGCTAATAAAAAAACAATCTAATAAAATGATAGCAAAGTCCTGTATTGTTGTTTACATGCTCAAAAATGGCTTTATTTCTAGAGGTAAATGACTGTGTTTTGGCTATGACACAAAACATAAATAACTTCAAAACACTCTCCTCTTGTATTCCTTATCAGCGCAGTGGCTAATCTTAGAAGTGTTCAAATATAAGACATCTAGAAATTTAAACTGTCAATATTGCGAAAAATAGGAGGAATGAGGGTTATCAGGTTATATACATGTAAGCTTTATATTGCTAACACATTCAGTTAAAAATACAATCTGTGCAGCTATGTTTATAGCTTGCTATATTTTCTTCTCGTAATTTGTAACAAAATAATGTTTTTTAAAGGCACAGGCATTATCTATAAAAGTGGACCATACGCCGCTTTTATGGAAAAGTAATACCATGTCGCATTGTCGGTCCCAAGGTGACCGGTGTAAGAACAAATATGCGGTTGCTTTTACCCTTTTTGAGTTTAAATGTTGAATTTTGCTTAAGCTGGTTCTAGGGAGTGTAAGCGGTAACTGGCGCTTTTCAGTACCGTCGATGTATAGACTCCTGCAAAATTTACAATTTCGTCGTTTATAAGTTCTTAAGGGATTCGGATTCTGACCACCAAAACAAGATTTAGAAACAAGCCATGCATTGCAAAAAATAGCAGCAGTATTAAGAAGGTATTGTTTGCTATTTTCATAACAACTCAATGTACCACAATTCAAGTTGCTGTTTCTTAGTGCAAATCAGCTTAATGGAAATTTTACAAATCAAAAGTTTCTCAAAAAAATACCCGCAACATATTTGACAATTGTCAGATTTCTGCATGGCATCACATTATCGTTCAAAGCGTCTAGAGTTCCAGACAGACAAAATATAATCGTGTTCCCAAATTCTCTGTTTTCGTCTGTAGTGACCTTCCCTCTTGTAGCTTCTTTTTATTTACAAAGCTGAAAATTTGTTCAGTGCAAACACCTTTGTTCTGAAATAGCTTTCACAGATTTGGTCCTGGGACTGAAACTTTGAATTTCTGTCAGAAGTGAATCTCTTGATTGAGCAAAATAACAGAAAATCAGTGCAAACAATAAAGAATCGCAATTATTTATGTCCTTTAGATGCATTCATTATTGATCATTTTTTGTCTCCCTCCTAAATATTCGAAAATCTCGTGCTACAATGCTCAGTATTCAGTATCAATTGCATTTGTAACACTAAAATTTGTGACGTCATTTAAAAAATAGCACTACATTCATTATTTTTTTATTTTGTTTCTACGCTTGTTGATTCTCTTGATGTGGTTTCACAACTGAGATGATGATGTTTGTCCAGTAATTCTTTGTTTAGCTAATACAAATCGTTTCTTGATAAACAGAATATATGGTTCCGTTTCCGACCTTTCATCGAGGGTTTTATAACACGTTTTTTGGAAACGTACAGTACTTAAATGGAGACTCCATTTTGACGTCACCAAGTTACCCTCTAAGGACGAAGTTGGACTATGAAATTATATGGGTTGTGGGTTTTGAGCTCGGGCGATTCGCCAAACTTGTTTTCACAAATATATCACTACCTAAGGTATGAGTTCATTATCTCTGAAACCTTTTACGAATTACACTTTTTCGTAAGTAATAAAATTGGGTAAACTCATTTCTTGTAAAATTGCCTTCTTTGATTTCTATTCCTACTTTGGATTTAATATAATTAGAATTGGAATTCATTTTTTTCAGTTTGAAATCAAATATTTGTTCGGATTTCAAACTGATTGTCATTGAAAATCATGTTTGCAATTGTTTGTATGTAATTGATTTCACAATAGTATATTATTTTTGACAAATTCAAACTCGGTTCTCTCTCGCAAAAACTTTGAATTTTTCAAAAGCCTACTGAAAATACTACATTGCAGGATCTGTTAGTCTATAGGTCAACGTTTTTCTTTGTATTGTAATATCTTGACTCGCCCGTCGTCATTTTAATTCGCATCATGGAATTCCAACGACAGGTATGTATATTTTATCCAACTTTATACTTTTATCATAAATTTTTGGTTAGGTGCTTGCTATTTTATTATAGGATTGCAACGTGACAGTATCGGAAAACATCAACAGATTTTCTGGATTTGACATTGACGAGAGTTTTAACAATGAAGTTTTCGTATTAGAAACAAACAAAAGTCTGGTGTCGTTAACGGCAAGCTGCCTTCAAATATGGTTAACGATGAAATTCCGAGCGATTGTTACTGCTGAAGGTAGATTTTTATCATATTTAAGAACTCAAAAGATCAAAGTTCATTCATGTCTTTCACAACGGCATGATTAAGTGGACATGGCCCTTCATAATGTTCTGGGGTTCTGTCTGATAGGTGTTTTTCTTTTGTATTGCTTGCAATACTTTGATGCTTGCTAATAACTATGAAATATTTTCACTGATCATCATTTACATTTTAAACCTTTTTAATGTCTTTAAAGGAAATTGATATCATGTAAAACAAACACATATTTTTATTTCAAAGCTTCTGATAATTACATTTATTTAAGCTATTCTTGACATATAGTTTTAACTGTATAGGGAATAGGTTTTATGACTTAACTACTCAATTATTCAAGCAAACGTATGTATTTCTTTCTCATTCAGATAATGCGTTTTAAGCTGTACTTATTCTTTTCTTGATCACACCCTAATTGTTACATCTTTGAAATTTACATATGGAAAATAAGAGAATTCATAGTAACAGTATTCCTATATTCAAATGTTGGATAAAAGTGTTCAAGTTTGTGCAAAGCTTGCATTTATAAACGCCTTTTCATGAGCTTTGCCTGCTTATCTATTTTAACAAGAACATTATTTGTGGCGTGGAGTGGACGCTTTTTATTTGAAATTAAATAACGGAAGTTATGATAAAGTCATATTTATAATTATTGTCAAATTATTTTCCAAATGTTTTTATTTGCCCCCATGGTAGCTATTCTCCATCTATTTTATTGGTATTCGGTGGAGTGTTTAAATATCCGTGCTTGAATTTGATTTAAGATACGCTTAAAGTTTTAGCTAACATATACATTTATATATGCAATTTGAAGGCTTGTATACTAGGGGGCGTAATTGTTATTATTGTTATTGCTGTTTTTATATAGGGGGCATGTTTTTATTTTCGTTATCCCTAATGTATAAACTCAATAAAACACCGACTACGCAATTTTCATGTCATTTTGTATGATTAAAGCTTCCGAAGGATCACACTTTTTCCAGATTTTTATAATCTCGGATCACTTCTTATGGCAAGAAATTATGAAATTATAAAAGTTCAAATTCAGATTAATTAGTATTAGAACTTATCGCATGGTTTGAAACTTTTCCTTTGTTCTTAATAACCCATTTTACTAAGTACACTTCAATGGGCATTTAATATATAGCAGTACAGTTCTTTTATTGATTCATATAGGAGAAAACTCGACTGCTATATAGCGGTTGAGTTGTTTTCGCACCTTGTATATATCAAATTGAATGTAGTTTTTTTTTCACAGAGGCTCCAATTGGGCAGTGGTTACAAACATTCCCAGTAGCAAATAAAAATGGAATCAATAAAATAAAATAAATAAATAAATACAATGAAAAATATAAACAAAGATAATTAATGAAATGATATTTACTCTCATAACAAAACGTACATCTTCTGAATTCTTGAATAAATATTGGTAACAGTTTACATACGCCTCTAACATTTGATGTCTTTTACATATATATTTTTGCGGCAGCGAAAACAACTTGAAAAGAAACTGCCTTATCATGAATAACTGCAATGTAGATAACGATTTATTTATTTATTTATTTATCTATTTTCTATTCATGTATTTATTTATGTATTTATTTATGTATTTATTTCTATTTCAAAAAAAGGAAACAATATGCCATAACAGTTATAGCTAGTATATGAAACTCGTTAGTTACGAGGATATAACACTGGCTGGGCGGGATGTTTCTGCAACAAATTGTCTCGGCCTGACGGCCTCGCTAATTTTTATCAGAAGCATCCCTTCATGTCGCCTCAGCCAGTGTTATAACCTCTTAATATTTATGTTTACTTTTATGTGACTGTGCAAATGTGACGAGCGTAGGAGGCCTATAATATAAGAAAAAATTACCCTTGAATAGGCAAAATGTTACTTTCAGCAACTGCTGAGGTATAATATTATTCTTTTACGATATCCATATTGATGTTTCATTCATCAGTATTTATCAATTCCGTCTAGCAATGAAATGTGTCATGAATATTATCAGCATACAAATTTGCAAACATTTTGTATCCTTTCAGAAACTCCAGCCTGCCTTAATCTTAATTACGTTGGTATGAAAAGAGATAGAATCGAAGAGTGTCATGAATCAAGCATGATTCTTTCTTCTCGTTCTTACTTGAATATTGACCATTATGACTCCGCTGAGGTTTTCAAAATATACGCCAAAGATCACCAAAGCATTGATATTATCTTCATTGATTTTTACATGCTGTGTTATACCAATACACGGAATTTATGGTAAGTTACTTCAAATTTACGTTTACATTTAAAAGTGTCGTTAAAAGTGAATTGAATAAATGGAGTTTATATCTTATTTTATTTTGCGGTTAGACTGACTTATAATCCCAAGGTACTACATTTAACCGAATACCTTGAATGATTTTATTATTTACTTTTTTAGAATGATAACATGACGTTTATATATCAAAAATTAATTCATTTAATAGTTTGATGTGTTGGATTTTAAGTCACTCGATACGGAAACTTTAATGCTCTACTGACTCTACTGGTGAAAGAAAAACTCAAGTGCCCATTCGTGCAACATTCATTCATTATGCCTGTCAAGCGCGGGAAATGAAGATGACCATGAGCTAGGTGTATAGCTTTCTTCCATGAGAGCGAGTGTAAGAATTTAAGTAAGAAAGACCCTGGTATACATAAACAGCAATCGTTATCATTTTCAAAGCTTGAATTAATTGACAGTATATAACATTTTCATTGATTTCTTATTTACATGAATTGAAACACATGCAATTAAATAACATGATTTTCAAATGTTTCATTGCAGATATAATAATCAATTAGATATTAAAACATACATCACAATTACCAAATATCGTCTCTAATTTTTTTTATTAATACAGTCTGATAAACACACTTCTTTCCACATGCAAAGATGCTCGTGATGATATCTGAGCATATTTAAGGTAGTGTGCTTGATTATTTTTGGTATGCAGAAATGTATATATGTTAGCTTTATTTCTCTAGCATTATTTTGTAAAGGAAAATCGTTGCTATGCCCAAATCGGCCGCGGCGGAATAGCAAATTTGTATCGATAAAATTATCTTAACCAATTCTCATCCTATTTTGCTCCGTTTAAGGTAGCATACACCTAATGCATTATTTTCACTTTGAAGAGTATTCAAAGAAGATAGAATCACTGTCAACTGCATGGCGTGGGTTCAAATCCCAGAGGGGACAACTTTTTTCTTTCTTTTTTTAAAAACATGTTTGTGTATCTCTCAGATGCCTTATGGAAGAAAAGAGTGTTTGATTTTAATTATATAATTATTGCAGGTATTTGATTGCTAGATAATGCCAAATTTAATAGCAACTTTGGTACCAGTTGTTTTTAAAGTTTGATAAATAAAAAGTACCCGGTAAAAGTATTTTATGTTTTGCAAGATCAACCAAATACTTTTAAGAAAATTAAGGTAAACTTTGAAAACAGCCCCTCATTTTAGTAAATTTAGGGATATTTTGAATAAGGCTTTTTACATAGCAAAATGATCAAATAAGTGTTTAAAGTGGGTAGGGTATAATTTTTATTCATATTAAAAACATTTTGTTTAGAAACAATCATTTTGTTCGATAAATGTGTTACCTGAATGTTATCGTTTGTTTCTTAACAATGAGCAACAGGAATTTATTTTTCATAAAGATAATATTACAGATTTTTAGAGTTTCCTCATTTCTGAAAAATGTCGTTCTAATAGCAAAGATTTAATTCAGAAAAATGTCCATTTTTTATCTGAAGCTGCGTTTATGTCTTGTTTGAAAATTATGAAATATGCATTTTATGTTTTGTCTTATATTTCTTAATATTGCGTTTAACACCGCTTTCAACAGTATTTCAATTGTAATATAGCGGAGTGAACTTAACAAAACAGTGTTTAAAGAATAAACTTCTTTTATAAAAAAATGACACGAGTCCGAGGTGGACCTTGAATCATTTTTTTACACAGTAAACAATTTCAAATGGGCTTTAAGAATGTTCACATCGCGCAAATCATCTAAACACTTTCACTCTTTCTTTCTATGCAGAAGTATATTCTTTGAGTAAATGTTAATAGATCAAATTAAATTTCAAACCGCTTACATGTACACCGTGTCAAAAGAAAAAATATTTGAAGTTAAAATCCGCCTCTTATCTCTTCTTATAACGGATAAGTCCGGTTTATTGTTTACATAAAAACGTTTTTTTTTCTCTCTAAAAGCTAAAAGTTAACTGTATATAGAAAAAAATAACACGATAACGTAAACAGTAAACATTATTCGTATGTAGTGGTATCATTGGTTGTGCAAGTAATTTAATAATTATTTTTTGTATTTTATTGAAATATACAGTTTAACCTCTGCAGTGCTGCTCTACATAGGTTAAATACTGTAATACAAAAGGGGGTATGTAAGTACACGTAAAGCCGAGTAGCGTAATGGTTATACATTGCGTTGCAAATATGCGAATATTTCTTTCAGTTCTGCTTCCAAAATAGTTTTAAGCTTGTCACATAAGGGTTCATTTCTAATTTATAAACTCATAAGCATAACATTTTAAATAGATTAATATACTGCACAAACATAAAAATGGTAAGCAAAAATAATTGTTTTTGTGTCTTGAACAGTGTGTTTTAAATAATCTTAACATTTTTGAATATTATTTCTGATTTCATTTATTATTTTTGCCACATTTGTATGTACAAATGTAAGAAAAAATGAAATACATGTATTTATGAGACTGCGGTAAGCAAATTAGAAAAGTATAATGAATAAAACATTGTCAGATTAAACATTGTAAATGTGCTCATCTAGCGCATGCATTTCAATGAGAAAATAATCAACAATATGAAAAATATATTTAATCAAGTCCCTGTGTAATTTTAATGTTGGACGGAAGAAAATTGTTATTTGTTTTTTTTTTTTTTAACTCAAACGTCTTTTGACGTCACCGAAATCATTACCTTTTACTCACTCTTTATCATATTTTAAAACAGTAATAGCAATATATCTCACTCGTTGACCCCCTATTTTATTGCATAAATGTATGGCTTATAGATTTCACTACGAGCTAATAATGTAGCAAAATTCACCGTGTTGATTTCTTTTTATTTCACAATTGTTATTGCGATGACGTGTGGTGTTTTCAACAGATTTGTACGTCGAAACATTGGGGTCCCTTTGGTGCTTTAACATTTTCTTGCACAAAATAATGCTGCGGAAGTTAATCTTACATATCTATATGTTTGCGTACCATGTTTGCGGTCATCTGCGGATGTTTCTAAATTCAAAATTTTACTATTTCACGTTTAAATGTTGAATTCTGCTTAAGCCGGTGCTAGGGGGCGTGGACGGTAACTTGCACTTTCCAGTACCGTCCATGAACAGGCTCAATCAAACCGAGCCTGCAACATTTTCAATTTGCCGTGTTGGGCTTTCTTTAGGGATTCTGTATTTATCTATTTTAAGTATCCAACGAGCAATATTTGCCCAATGCAAGTTTAAAGTATAAGTAAACTACCCAGAGTTCGTTAAACAGTTTCATGTTTTCCAAGATCCTAGTCTCTTTTTGTGTCGCCTTTACGAGTCCGTCTATCTGTCCGTCTGTCACAAAACTTGTCCGGACTACTCCTCATAAACTACTGATACAATTTTATCCAAACTTAACAGGAATTATCAGTACCAAGTTTTGTGGTGCATACCGTCAGTATTTTTCGGTTCAATGATTTTTGTTGGAGTTATGCCCCTTTCATAATTTTTATTTTTAAAGTTTGTCCGGACTACTCCTCTTATACCACACAATGTAATGTCTATGAAACTTTACATCATTGATCTGTAGGTAAAGGCCTTGCGCATATTACAAGGTTTTTTTTGTTGAATGTTGTTTGGCCTAGTTATGGCTCTTTGATAAAAAGCTTATTTTTTCTGTGTGTTGCCAGATACACAAAAACTTGTCCGGACTACTTCTCAAAACTACTGGTGCAATTTCAGGAATGATCAGCTCGAAGTCTTGTTGTGCATATCATCGGATTTTTATAGTTTAATTAATTTTGTTAGAGTTATGGCCCTTTAATTATTTTTTCTTTACAGTTTGTCCCGACTACTTTTCATATACCACGTTGCAATTTTAAACTTTACAGGATTGATCGGTAGGTCAAGCACTTGCGTATTTTACATGGGTTTTCTGCTTGAATGATTTTTAGCCAGGTTATGGCCCTTGAAATAATAAAATTTTATTACTTTTATTACAAGACTTCATGTTTTTATGAGACATTCGTCTGAAATTGAAGGCTACCAGTCGGGAAAACAGACTATGATATTCGAGATAATATTGAAGAAATTTCATTTAAAATGGCATAAAACAAAAAAAAAATGTATTTGTTTGCCGTGTAAGATAATATCCCCTAAATACACATAGGTCTATCGTACAAATATGTCAATATACATGCACAATTATTAGATATACAAGTATATTATTCAGCGATATATGTTGACAGTTTAATGTTTTCTTTCCAGATTCCAAGCCTAGTAAGTATGTCTTCTGAACATTTCTTAAATGTTGTCTGAAATGAACAAGTGTGTGATAAGCATTCCTTGCATGAATGTTTCTCAAATTATCTCTGATTAAAATCTTGTTTCTTTTCATTGAAATAAACTGTCTAAACTTTCAGTTATTTTTTTTTCTTATCTGGTTTGAAAATCAAATTAGAAACAAACAACCTTTATTGTATAATGGTTTATGAATAAGGTGTGAGAAACTGTTAGAATATGAGGGGAAAATTGCATATAGAATGGTCATGAGGGTCATGTGAATGCTTTTTTTAAATTTCACACACACACACGCAAGCACACACGCACGCACACATATCAACACACTCACATGCACGCACGCAAATGTTATATCTATAGTTACAAGGGTAAGTCAATATGCTATGCAATATTTCCCATAAATATAACAAAAGGGCAAATATTTTTCAATTTACAAATTCTTTTCAATAACTAAAAATGACCAGCCCAAGTCAATTTCTACTGTTGTAGAGATGATCTACAAGATGTTTTCAGTCTAGGAAAGTCGAAAGATCTCATGTTGCCAAGTCTGGAAATTTGGTGTATGTGTATGGATAGTGAGTCATTTTTTTCAGAGAAAAAATTACAATGAATTAGGATAGCTGCTTTTGTTCATGCGCGTTGTCACGTAGAACATTTAGACCTTTCATACCAATCGAAGGACGAACTTATTTAAGTGT